TTAGCTAAAAATTAAAAAAAAAAAAAAAAAAAAAAATTGTATTATAATTTTTCCTATATATTATACTTTCATACAGGCATATTGTAATTACAAAGTTCTATACAACACCGGAAATAACATTACGTTATTGAACTGAGTGCAACACTGACGACGACGGTCCCTACGCGTAATATTATACAAATCCGTTTTCGACCGAAACCGCGGTTTTCAATAAAATTCGTTTTTAGTCTGAAAGTGGGCTTTTTACGGGCTTTTTCGTTTTCTTTTTTTTTTTTACACCGTTTACCGCTCGCCCTCGTCGTCGCGCAAATACGTCGCGAATATAACTATATATATAACAAGACTTATCGAGCGGGTGGGTTGTGGGGGAGGGAGGGGTGGCGGTTGGGCCGGGGGAGGATGCTGCTTGTTACGCGTTTCGTTCCTCCGGTTCGACCACCGCGTCCGTCCCTCTCGGACGCCGTTTCGAAACAATAACAACAACGACGGGCACATAACGAAAACACGATAGATGATAATGTGCACAAGTATTTACGCGTTGTGCACGCGGACCGACAAAAACGGAAAAAAATAAAAAAAAAACATCCGTCTGAAAATTAACTCGCGCGCGTTTAGCCCCGCCGTGGACCGCGCCGGTTACGCGGCGATACAACGGGAAATCGCGTCCGGGCGCGGTTTGACGTCGTGTTATCTCTCGTCGCCGTTATCGTTATCGTTGCCGTTATCGCGTCCGTCGTCGACGGCGACAAGGCGACGCGATATGTTACCGCCGCAACAGCTGCGGTCGAGCGTTTGACACGGCGCGCGGATTTTTGTTCGTGGGAAAAAAATAAAGAAAAAAATAAAAATATTGCGATCGCACGTTTTCGAGCCGCGCGCGTTTGCCGGGCGAGGAAAACCGTCAACGCCAAAGGAAACAATAATAATAATAATAATAATAATAATAATAATAATAATAATAAAAAAAAAAAGAACCGCTAAAACTATTGTTATTATGATATTTTACGGGGCGCCTACAAGTACAAACACCGTGGTATATTTACGTACACATATAAATTGTTTTCTTTAAAAGGCTAATACTTAACGCTTTTTCTACCATGCACCTTTTTATTTTTTTTTTATTTTTTTTTTTTTAAATAAACATCCCATTAATAATAATAATACGCGAAAAAAAAAAATAGTTGATTTTTTTCCTCCCCGTCATTCGGTTCCCGACACGCACACACACACACACACACACACACACACACACACACACATTTATGACGTATTAACACCTGTAACCGCGGCGCCTACGACCTTTCCTTGTCGTATTTGGTCAACTGCAACGGTTGTGCCGCCGCGGCGGCCGCGGCGGCCGCAGCCTTGGCCGCGCCTTGTTCCAGGGCCCGATGGTGGAGAGCCGTGAATGCGGCCATCTCGCGCCACGAAGCTATCGTGGACAGTACGTTGTTGTGATGGTGCGAATGGTGATGCGGCTGATGACGGCGGTCGACGGCGCGTTTCGCGTCGGCCGGATGCGGGTGACCGAAATACGGCGGTCGACGGTCGGTGCCACCGAAATGATGAGGTGACGTCGTCGGCGGGACCGTTTTGCCGTTGTCGTTATCGTCGTCGTCGCCGTCGTCGTCTTCGTCGTCTTCGTTGTTGTTGTTGTTGTTGTTGTTGTACGTTGACGAGTTCGAACCATCGGCACCGTCGTCGTCGTCCGTCATGTGAATCATCGGCTCGTCACGATGAGCCCGTTCGCCAACGCCGACGCCGTCATTGTTGTCTTCGTCGTCGGTCGTCACGTTAATCTCTTCGGACGATTCGGACGCCGCGTAACCCGCGAGCTGGTTTTGGTGGTGCAGCTGCTGGTTCTGGTGGTGCTGGTGGAGGAGCTGCCGGTGATGGTGTTGCAGCTGCTGCTGGTGCGGCATCAGCGATCGGAAAGCGCTGTTCTCGCCGCCACCCAGACACCGGGCGACCGCGACCGAACAGGGCGGACCGACGCCCGCGGCGTCTTGTGGGCCCGCGGAACCGCCGCCGCCGGTCGCCCCCGCGACGGGCGACACGACCGGCGGCGTGGGCGTACCCGCCGCTGAACCGCTGCTGCCGCCCGACACGGTCGAAGCGGCCGCCACGCCCGACCGACGCGATTTGTTCATGCGCTGGTGCCGCCGCCACTTGGCCCTCCGGTTCGAAAACCACACCTGCAAATACATAACCGTTACTTCATACTATACGTTACAATATTCGTCTGCAATGTATAGGAATAGTGCAAACTCATATATTATATACAAATTATTACTGTACATTATGTATGTACAGGGTGTCGCAGCGTGTTCGGCGGTTTTTTCGAGAGCTGTTAGTATTGCATTTTTTTCCTATTATTATGTACAATCTGCCTTTCTTTGAGGGCGACGTCCATTACGAGAACAAAAAAAACGCTAAACATTTTCACGTATCACGCATTCATATCCGGTCGATAGCAACGGCCGCTTTAATTGCCAGAGAAAAGGCGTAAAAAACGGAACTACCGCGTTACGCGATTGGGAATAATTCGATTTATTGTGGTTATACATTGAAATACAATTAAAGCGGCCGTTGCTAAAATACTAACGAATGGATATGAATGTATGATAGATATTTTAAATCTTTACAATTAATATCCATTAAAAAAAAATAAAAATGGCCATTTTGAACATTTCGTAAGCGAATGAATAAAAAGTCAATTTAATTTTTTTCTAAAAAAAATCCAAAAAAAGTCTTCCCAAAAAGGAAAAGCAGATTGAAAAAAAAAAAAACCCCGTCGGACCCGTTGGAACACGTTGTATTGTACACGGGGGGCAAATGCAAATCCGTTACCGTCATTCGCGCGGTTTTGCGGTACCGTACGGTTAGGTGTGGTTTGCCGTAATTACGTTGCACGGATACCGTAAACTGCACTTTCGAAACGCGAGGAAACGCAGGTAGGATTATAATAAATAACAGTGCGTCGGGCGCTGTCGGGTCCGATCGTCTTGCATTACGGAACGATACGAAATTCAATCATCAACGACTGTGCGATTGTAGTTCAGCGACGGGTTTATTCGAAATCTGCATAAAGAAAGAAAAAAAGCCCCTCCCTTCTCTAACGGCTCCGATGTTAGAGCCGTCAGACTTTTAAACACCTCTAACATTTTTTCTTTTTCTTTTTCCTTTGGCCTTTTAAATATTTTTCAAGCGCTTTTTTTTCGACGTTTTAAAGCGCGTGTAAAGCCGTTCGTTATTATCATGCCGGCGCACAAAGAGTTAAAAAGTTAACGGGTCAAGTCGATTGCTACTATTAACAACTTGCAGATTCTAACTACTAATTGTCCATTGTAATAACTTGACTTTTAAGTTTCTTTCCAACTCGAATTAATTGATTTTCATTTTGAGACGTTTTACAGGAAAAAGAAATAATAATTTAACGTGCTAGACAATAATAGTTATACGTTTTTGAGTTAATTGAACATGTTCAAATTAACGTTTAACTTAACTCGGTCGCTCAATAAGTAACAAAACGACTGATTTTTAATTGTTTTCATTCCGTTATTAACTAACTCGACCGAATTAATATTGTTCATTTAATCGGTCCGGTCTTCATAGGTACTATTATGTTGACGTTCTCAACGCTCGCGGAATGCAATACGATTTAAATTTAAAATCCGGTGGACGAGTATAATAGGTACCGCTGAAATAACTGTCGAAATATATTCGAATTAACAGCGTAGATTATATAATTCGCGAATTTATGTTGACTTCGCGGCTACGACCACGAGTACCTAAACCGATCAACTGCGATCGAATCGTTTGGGAAATGACTTTCGGTTTGATTACGAACGATTTGATTTTGAAAGTCTAGTGCAGCGATTAGACATTGAACTAATATCGTTACGTACCTTGACGATGTGTATAACTATAGAACATGGACTGACATTGTCATAAGCAAAACGTTTACCGAGTGTATGGCTAATGTACACTATACAGGGTGTCCTGCAGGATGCGATACAAACATCATAAAGCTTAACCTAACCTAACCGCGCTGATTGTGTTTCGTTAACGCGTAACGTGTTATTCTACCGGAGACTAATTGTTTTCACGCTAATTTTCTAGAAATCAAAACGGCTATCACTCAGAAACTATTGACCGTATATGAATGCATGGTACATTCAAGTTTTTAAAAGTGAAAGAATAAAGTTATTTTGTTTTCAGTGATTATTTTTCTACTATTAGATATGTTATACATACTATATAACACTGTAGGACACCCTGTATATATATATATGCATAAACGAGTAGAAAATCAAAACTCGTATGTTCCTAAATTCACATCTTTCAGAAAACGAAAAAAAAAAAAAATTAGAAAAGGGATTTTCCGTACAATGGAGAAATCCAAAATGCATTTTTCTAATGCAAGTTGAGTTAAACAATACATAACTACTGTCGACAGTTAAAATATTAGTCGGTATTTATATATATATATATATATATGTATGCACTTTTTTACCCACGTTTAAATGTACGGAACGTATGAGTTTTGACGGACACGCGTGGGTTTCGTTAATATTTGAAATCGAATATGTGATTTTTCGTAATACGGATGATATCGTATGATTTTCGATCATGGGTCAAACACTCAACACTCAACTGTCGAAACTCACACAATCCATTGGAACTTCCAACGGCTTCTTTCCGGGTGGATTTAAACCCGCAGTCCTTGTTAGTTTTGAAACGGAAACGAATACAGAATTAGATTTGCATTAAAAAAAAAAAAAAAACCCTATAGAGTTAGTGTCGCTAACTCGTTTTTTCCTATTTTTCGGAGTTTTGGTCGTTCCAAACCATACACGTATAATACCATGGCCTCGTCGAATATAGTACACTGTTATTATTAAATATAAATTATTATCAATCATAATGTTATCTGCGATCATTACTTGGACTCTGGCTTCGGACAGACTGGTCTTGGCCGCCAGTCTTTCACGGGTGCTCACGCACGGATAGTGGCTTTTGTCGAACTCCTTTTCCAGTTCGTCCAGTTGGTCGGGACTGAACGTGGTCCGGTTGCGCCTGAACTTGGGCTGCTCGGAACCGCTCCCGCTGCCCACGCTCTCCATGTCGTCTTTACAACCGTCGACTCCACCGCCGACTCCGTCACCTATATTGTACAGAAACACACGCAAAAGAAATATTAGACGCGTAAAGTTTAGCTCGTGGTCAATGGTAATAAATCAATGATTGCACAAGTGGTTTATTTCCATGTTAAATAGTTGTATTAGTTTATTTTTTAAAATTCAACATTATGTATTATTAATCAACTTTTGATCCGCGCTGCAGTATTTGAAAATCTTTTTTTTAATTTCCGTACACATTTTGTGTGTCGTCGTTATGCAGTTATAGATAATCGTTATTTCTCACGTAGATAATTCCGCTTTGTGTTTTAAAAAAAAATAATAATAATAACAAAAAGGCTGATATACCGAGTGAAGGCTATACTATTTCGGGAGGGAAATTCGAAGGTAGGATTATACAAAATAGGTTGTTAAACTATTATAATAACCATTGCTAACGAAAAATGATTCTGAGCAGAGTATTATTAGTCGTATTTTTCCATTATTGCCAACAAAGATCACTGAGATCTCGAAAAAAAATTGCCAAATTATTGTTTTGGTTTATGTACTACTCATTATAGCTAAAAATCTATAACCAGCTTTACGTTTAAACGGTTCTGATAAATTTCGCTTAAAATTACGTATACGTTCGAGGAGGGGGGGAGGTTTATGTAATAACATATTAACTATAGGTAACCCGACACATTGATTTTTCAGTTGAAAACTAAAAAAACAAATTCGAATTTAAAAAAAAAATTGATACTAAAAAAAAAAGGGGGGGGGGGGGGGAGAAAGTTTATGTTTCCGTAAACTATACCCCCTTCGAATACGCCACTGAGCGTTTATGTTGTGATGTGCGTGTAAACATTGTACATACGTATAGATTAAATAATTACAATATGAACTCTCTCCTCGGGACAGAAGCCGACAGACATTTCTATTATAATAATAATAATATATATGATATGCTTTTATATTCAGTGCAATAGATTCTCCCGCGATTTTCTCGAACGCGTTTCTTTATTGCAGTATAGAATATGCATACGAGGTATGGATAATTTCTTCTGTGCATTTCACTTACATATATAAG